AAAAGACACCGGCAATCCTACCATCAAGTAAAACAATTACAGGCTTTCATTTTACACTCACTTGGCAGGACGGTAGTACCTCCCTGGGTGGTTGCTGTCTACCAACCTACTACCTATATAGTTCAATATCTGTTTATTTATTTTCACTTGTGTCGACATCTGGCAATAGTTCGCTAGTGCTGGTCAGGCCTATTTCCAGAGTAACCTTCATTCTAACCGGCACTCTCCATATGACACTGTAATCCATATTTTTCTAATTGGTGTTCACTGATATTCCTTTTATGTTGGTTCACAAGGAGTATATCACTTTATGGTTGCACACGCTTATTTGCCGCCCTCTGTTCCCACTTGGGACTATCAGGAAAAGTGGTTTTTCACGGAGCTCGACCACGCGTGACTTCCCGCACATGACTTTATGTTGAATCATATTAACTAGTGAAGCATCGGTATATATGCCGCAACATGCGCTCGGGTAGTGTTCCCTATGCAATGCCAAGGGGATGGAGTACATCCCAGAGTACATCCTGTGGTCCTACACCAGGAATAGGCAGTGAAAGTGAGGATGATGTTGCTACACTTGGCATGGATAGACCACAGGCATCAGTAGGTGGTGGTATTGGTGGTGATAGTGGTGGTGGTAGTGCCACAGCCATGCATGACTCACCAGCACAGGCTGGGACCCACGCCGCTGACTCATCAGAAATTGGCAATTTGGCCGATTTCACACAAATTTCAAAAGATGACAATTTCAAAATAGGGTCCAGAATAAACAATGCAGACATTTCTGGCACTAAAATAACATTTTTCTCCATTCATTAGTCATGTCTCCAGGCTCCTCTTATATTACTCTTGCTTTCTATTTTGAATTTTTCACACAAAAAATAGAAGATTAACTGTTATGCAGACTATGGCATTATTGTAATAATTGAATAAATAATGTCAACCCATGCATGACTGCATATTAGACTGGCCAGTTGGACATGGATTGGATGGTGACGTCATTTGTTTACTCTTGAACATCGGCAAAAATCGAACATTTCTGCTACTCTGAGCTCAGTTTCATGGTACTTTTCATCATGAAACCAATCAAAATCATCTCTATTTCTGTAATATATCTTCCATTCTATCAAATGAGACCAAGAAAACGAGAATACAACCATAAATACCATACGAAAATACACTTCAAATTTGGTGTTTTAAACCAAAAACACAGTTGGAGATTTTTTCCTCATTATACACTGTATACTGCAGGATTTTTTTTATACTGCACACTAACCATACAGACCCATTCTCTCACATGTAGGTCTACCAGCTTTCTCTCGATAGATCTGAAGCTGCTAGAATTTTGGCGTATTAATACATCACCAACACTGGCTTGTAAACCGTACCTATACATCACCAACAGTGAAAGGGTTAAATATTGATGAAGCGAGGGAGGCAGTGATTTTATGCACTGGCCAGGGAAGTACAGCGTTCCATTCCTAAGACCACATTGGTAAACAAATTCATCGCTAAGCAAGGAGCATACTACATATAATGGTAGTGGGTTTGTGTCGACCATCTTTGACATTGTTTTAATGTCACCTTTGCACCATTTAAAACATTTTTAGTATATTTTTAAATGTTTATACAGTAGAGTGCTGTATATCGTAATAAACAGAATACAGTGGAGCCTCAAATTTCGAACGTATCGCTTATCAAACTCTTTGAAAATCGACCACTTTTTTCAAACCAACTTTGTCCCTATTATTGAACTCGCCCCTATTTTCGAACCGCCGGGTACAGGACCTGTCCACCTTCTTCAAAGATTAAGGAGATTTGCACCAAGTGGAATGATGTCCAAATGTTTGTGGAGAAGTACCACCCTGAGCAAGCTGAAACAAGCCATCTTTGCAACAAGTTCAGTGACAAAACCATGACCCATTTTAGGGAAATCTTAAAGAGGCGCCAGAAACAGAGGACTGTGGACAGTTATTTTGTGAGACAGGGGTCCAGTGACTCTCAAGCTGGTCCTAGTGGCATTAAAAGATAGAGAAGGGAAGTAACCCCACAGAGGGCTTTGATACCTAAAGTCCATATGGAGGGGGATTCCCCTTCCAAACACTAACCCCAACTCCCTCTCTCCTCCTCCCTATCTTCCAGATGCCATCACCAATCTTTAATAAAAGTGAGTATAAATGTTATTTTGTTATTTATTTTTATTATCACACTGGCCGATTCCCACCAAGGCAGGGTGGCCCGAAAAAGAAAAACTTTCACCATCATTCACTCCATCACTGTCTTGCCAGAAGGGTGCTTTACACTACAGTTTTTAAACTGCAACATTAACACCCCTCCTTCAGTTATTTTTATGTTATTTTGTATGTTTATTTAAATTTATTAATACATAATTGTACACAATATTTGTTGTGTGTATGTAAAACTATAATTAATCTCTATAAAATGTATTTTATTTTTTAATATTTTTGGGTTTCTGGAACGGATTAATTGTATTTCCATTCTTATGGAAATATTGCTTCGCTTTTCAAACTTTTCGAATTTAGAACTAGCTCCTGGAATGGATTAAGTTCGAAATTTGAGGTTTCACTGTAGAGGAAATCAGCACTAACATACATTATTTAGGTGTGCATGCTTGTCAGAGGGCCCGCCATAAGTCTGAGTCGTCGGTAAACGAGTATGTTGCTAAGTAAGGAGAGGCTGTATAACATCTTTAAGGAGTGAAGAGCCAGATGTGAGTATGGGGGAGGTGTGCGAGGCATTGGGTAGAATGAAAGGGAATAAAGCAGCTGGAACTGATGGGATCTTGACAAAAATGTTGAAAGCAGGTGGGGATATAGTTTTGGAGTGGTTGGTACCTTTGTTCAATAAATATATGAAACACAGTGAGATATCTAGGGACTGGCAGAGAGCATGCATAGTTTATTTATACAAAGTGAAGGGAAGGGGGCAAGAGAGTAATAATTATAGGGGAATAAGACTACTGAATATACATACCTGGTAAAGTGTATGGTAGGGTTATTACTGAAAGAATTAGAGGTAAGATGGAGAGCAGGATCTCAAATGAACAAGGAAGCTTCAGAATGGGGAGGAGATGAGTCGACCAAGTATTTATATTGAAGTATATAAGTTAACAATATTTAGATACAGGTAGGGAAGTTTTTATTGCTTTTATGGATTCAGAAAAGCCTTATGAAAGAGTGGGTAGGGAATCAATGTGACAGATGTTGCAAGTGTATGGAATAAGTGGTAAGTTACTAAATGATGTAAAGGGTTTTTATGAGTATAGTGAGGCTCAGGTTAGGGTGTGTAGGAGAGAAAGATTACTTTCCAGTAAAAGTAGGTCTTAGATAGGGATGTATACTGTCACCATGGTTGTTTAACATATTTATAGATGGGGTGGTAAAATAAGTAAATGCTAGGGTGCTGGGGAGAGGGATGGGATTAAATTATGTAGATTCAAATACAAAGTGGGAGTTGACAGTTACTTTTTGCTGATGATACTGTGGTTTTGGGAGATTCTAAAGAGAAGCTGCAAAAGTTAGTGAATGAGTTTGAGTGTATAAAAGAAGATTTAGATAAGGAAAAAAATTGGATAACTTGGAGGGGGTATGGAAGAAGTGAATGTGTTCTGATATTTGGGAGTAGACTTGTCAGCGGATGGGTTTATGAAGGACAAGGTAAACTAGAGAATGGATGAAGGAAAAAATGTCGGTGGTGCATTGAGGGTTCTGTGAAGACAAAGAACATTGTCTATGGAGGCAAAGAATGGAATGTATGAGAGTATAGCAGTACCAGCACTCTTATATGAGTGTGAAGCATGAATGTTGCAGCAAGAATGAGGCTGGAGGCAGTGGAGATGTCATGTCTAAGGGCAATGTGTGGCATATTATGCAGAGAATTCATAGTGGAAATTAGGAAGAGGTGTGGACTTACTAAAAGTATTATTCAGAGGGCTGAGGAGGGGTTGTTGAGGTAGTTTGGTCATTTAGAGAGGCTGGAGCAAAATAAGATGACTTGGATGGTATATAAATCTGTAGTGGAGGGAAGGAGGGGTAGGGGTTATCCTAGGTAAGGATGGAGGGAAGGAGTATATGAGGTTTTGTGTGCCTGGACATACAGGCATGTGTGAGCATTTTAGATAGGAATGTGTGGAGACGAATGGTTTTTAGGACTTGACGAGCAGTTGGAATGTTAATCCTGGAGGTGGGCAGTAAAACGTCTACACTTGAAAGGAGGGGTTTGGGATATTTGCTGTTTAAGGTGACATCCGAACTGTCATATCTGTGTGCCTCTGCAAAGACAGTGATTGTGTGTGAATGATCGTGAAATTTTTTCTTTCTATTTTTTTGGGGGGTCACCCTGCCTCAGTGGGAGACGGCCAGTGTGTTGAAAAAAATATTATTAGCAGTATATTAAGGATAAAGATAGGTACATGAGATGAGGGAATGATAGCTGTGGTGGATTCCCAGGCACAAATAGCATAGGTGAGGTAGGAATAGATTAGAGAGTAGTATAATTGAAGTTGTGCTGTTTGAGATACATTCATTCAACAGCTGTCTTGCCAGAAGTGTGCAGACATTGCAATTCAAATGATTCACCATTCAAGTGCAGGCACTATACTTCTCACTTCCAGAACTCAGTCAAGCTAACCAATTTTCCTGAATACCTTCAAAAATGTTACCTTGCTCACGCTCCAGTAGCACATCAACTTTGAAAATCATCCGTGCCCACTCACTCTGAAACTAACACATTCATACAAGTACTGAATACTGAGGCCCCTACTACTTAAAACTTCCTTTACTGAATCTGGGTACTGAATCTTAATTTAGGTACAAATAAACTAAACAACTACCCAAAATATTGCAGCACAAAACTGTTAATAGTACTGTATATATATAGTTGCAAAGAGTAAATAATAATAAGGAAACATGACACTTGAGATAATTAGCTCTAATTACAATGCAGTGATTGAGAGAAATATGCCTCATCACTTCTTTCCACAAAGCCACAACACATCAAAGAATGAGGAACAACACTGGTGTAAAATTGTTTACCAGTAGTCCTGAGACATAGGCATCTTCTTCCACTTGTGCTGCACGTTCCCCAGACTGACCACTGCCTCTGCTGGCTTGCTGTGGCTGTGATACATGACAATGAACCACACAATTATCAAACAAGCCATACTGAGCAAGAGTTGAAGTATCTTGGCTCAACAGCTGACCGTTGAAAATAAGCCGAATCCGCCGATTAGCATCCATTTCAATGGAGAAGTGTTGTCTGTAATAGAAATTAAAACAATTAATACCAGTTAATTCTTAACTCCTTCTCTAAACAGTAATTTGTTGCTCACCTAAAGTCCCATGTTCCAAGCCAGTGTCAATGATGGACACTGTTATCATTTTGGTATCTAAATTTTTGTGTAAATCAGTGTGCAGGGCATTTTGCATGTGGTAAATAAGCAAAAGCTTTAATGATAACTTTTTTGATGCTACTGTACAGTAGACCTCCCAATTAACCCTTTCAGGGTCCGTCCCGTAGATCAACGGCTTTACGTTGAGTGTCCAACCCGTAGATCTACGCCAAAATTCTAGCGCCGTCAAATTTAGCGCGAAAACGCTCATAGGCCTACATGTGAGAGAACAGGTCTGCGTGGTGGGTGTGCGCCATAAACAAAAAATCTAGGCGCCCGCATAGCATTGTGGGAACGCCGGCTCAGTTACCCTTGTTCACCATGCCTCGTCACAAGTCAGCTCTCACTCCCCAGAAAATTGGGACTCTCCTCTTCCTATCTGATAGTTCTGACACTGATGGAAGTGGAAATGAAGACGAATTCTACGGCTTTGATCAGTTAGTGACTGAAAAGAATGACCAGGATATCGATAATAGTGCAGAAAACCCTGACGATCCTCAACCTTCTACCTCTGGTGTGGGCACTCGTGACTCACGGTTGGTTGTTCCTCATCGCAAGAGAAAACTAATATTTTCACATGGCCAGGCCTCTGACTTCAGTAATGATGATGATAGTGACGTGGACTGTGATTTTATTGCGCTCGACGATCAATCATATAGTGATAGTGAGGAATCATATTCACCAGTGAAGCGTCGGTATGTTCGCCGCCGCATGCGCTCGGGTAGTGTACCCTATGCTGTGCCCAGGGGACGGAGTACATCCCGGAGTACATCCCGTGGCCCAACACCAGTTTTAGGTAGTGATAGTGAGGATGATGTGGCTACACTTGGCATGGATAGACCTCAGGCATCAGTGGATGGTGTTAGTGGTGATGGTAGTGGCACCGCCATGCGTGACTCACGAGGCCACGCTGGGACCCAAGCTGCTGACTCGTCAGTTCAAGGACAAAGCGGAGCGCCAGCCACCAGCCCACCACAACCACAACCACCCGCACAACCAGCCTATGATGTCCAGTATCCACCAGCAAACCGTATGTGGGATTGGCAGCAAAATCCCAATTTTGTTCCCAAGCCTCACCACTTTGATGATTCTCAAAGTGGAATTCTACCTACTTGTCCCCTTGGAACCACGGCCAATGAACTGGAATTCTTTGAATTATTCTTTGACCAGCCATTGATGGAAATTATTGTCAGGGAAAGTAATAAGTATTTTGAGTACACCATGGCAAATACGATCTTATCACCACAGTCAAGACTACACAGGTGGAAAGAGACGACTGTTGCAGAAATGTATTTGCTTTTTGCAACGATAATGCTTATGCCTCACGTCTATAAGCATAATATAAAAGCATACTGGTCCACAGATCGGCTAATTTCTACCCCAGTCTTCAGTGAAATCATACCAGTGAACAGGTTTATCTTACTCTTACGTATGTTGCACTTCTCTGACAAAACCAGGCCTGACAGAAGTGACAGGTTATACAAGATTAGAAATGTTTTCATGTATCTCAAACAAAAGTTCAGCATATACTTTTATCCATTCAACAATCTTGTAATTGACGAGTCTTTGATTTTGTTCAAAGGTAGACTGTCATTCAAGCAGTATATACCGAGCAAGAGGAAACGCTTTGGTATAAAACTGTTTGTACTCTGTGATTGTGACAGTGGCCTGGTGTTGGATATTGTTGTATACACGGGTAGTAAAACATTGAAAGATACCAAGATGTTATTGGGTATCTCAGGTGACGTAGTGAGAAACATGATGGCACCTTATCTTGGTAAGGGACATACATTATATACCGATAACTGGTACACAAGCCCATTACTCAGTGATTTCATGCGAGTGAACAAACAGATGTGTGTGGCACAGTGCGTTCTAATCGTAAACATATGCCCAGGCTCAACGCAGGTGCTCGTGGTGATGACGTGCAGGTGTTTACTGCCAATGACATCATGGCTTTACGGTGGCATGACAAACGAGATGTCACATTGTTGACAACCATTCACCGTAATGAAATGCAAGACAGTAGCAAAGTTGATCGAGTGACTAATAAGCGTATTCGAAAACCAGTGTCAGTGATTGATTATACACAAAACATGCGCTTGGTTGACAAGTGTGACATGCAGATTGGTTTTGTTGACTGTGTTCGTAAGAGTTACAAGTGGTACATGAAACTTTTCTTCCATCTCATGGACATTTCAATGCTCAATGCATATAATATGTACCAAATAAAGACTGGCAACAGACCACCGTATGGTGAATTTTGTTTGTCTGTTGTCAGACAACTCATAATGAAGTACCAGGTAACAACACCTGCTATACAACATGGTCCTCGAATTCCTCAGGATATACCCAAGCGTTTGAGGAGAGAAGGTGATCATTTCATAATACAGCTTCCTTCAACTCTAGCTATATACTTGTCCAAACTTCCAACCACTACAGATATCAGTAGTAGAACTCAACACACAACTCAGGATATAAATAACCATAATTTTAAACCTAGAAGATGATTGATCACGTTGACCCTGATCTAAACCTCCATAACCTGACACCCAATCAAAACCTATTGGAAAGTAACTGCCTTTATTACACAGCATCACAAGCCACCAACTATCCTAAACAATGCAAAAGTCTTCAGTTTTTAAACTAAACATCGGTCCTTAAGAAAAAAACATGATGACCTCCTAGTATTTCCTTGAATCCTAAAGACACCCTTCTCCTGCTTATTCTTACGAGACCTGCTTAAGCAGGACACAAAAATCACCCTCTACCGGGATAAAACAGAAATTTCCAACTGCAGACAAACAAGGGGGGGTGGATTCAACTAAATTACTCTAACCCCAATTTTTTGTCTTGACCACTTGCTCAGTGATAATATGGGGAATACTTTTTGCAAATTTTTTACTGTAAAAAACCTTAAGACCCTATAACATCGGTGCCATTTCCGGGATTACCTCACACAAACATCCCAAATTTTAGTGAAAAATTTAAAATCCAAAATAACAAACAACAAATGAATAAGCCCACCTTCTTTAGGGAGACTTCAACATCAACCTTGGTTTACTAGAACCCAGCCGTAACTATTTCATAAAACAATTGAACAACAAAATTTCTCATACCAACAAAACTAAACCAACCAGGCTCACGAGACAAGGCAACCAAAAATAGACCACAAAATGGCCCAATATACTAGCCCCCCAAATCAGGGAAATCACGATAGCACTACAGACCATCCCCCTACCTTCCTCCTGACAAACTTAGTAAACCACCACTTGAAAACAAAAAAGTCCATTAGCTCCATGACGAGGCCTCAGTAAGGAAGTTCACAGCTGATGAGACTGTTGTTTGGGCCTACAAAATTCTCCAAGGGCCAAGGTTTTGATGAGGGACAGACTTTTTTTTCTTAAAAAATTACTTAGACTATAAAACAAACATTGCCCTATAAAAAAAAAACGATAAAAAACAAACGGCTTGGTTGCCCATGGCAACCAGCACCTTTCGAAATCCATTGACAAGAAACACCAATATAAAAGCAATATAGACAGGCTTTAATACACAAAGATATTTTTAACACATTCATAGCTCTCACCAAAGTAATAAAAAAAGCCAAAAAATATACACTCCAGAGATTTAAGCACTGGGGGAATAAAAAAGACCTGGAAAACATCTCTCAGTTCTAGGGACCCAAAAAACTGAAAAAACCAAAAATTTGTCCTAAAAAACCTAATAAAAACAACTCATCCCATGACACACTAACAAGATAAACACTTTTTCTCAAACATAGGATCTAATTCGCCGTAAAATCCCACATCCCAAAAGCCCATCCCGGGTACCTAAAAGGGAAATTTCCCTAACCCTTTCTATTTGCACCAAGGCCCCCCCCGGAACCCATTAGATCATAAAGTCACTTAAAAATAACTCGGGGAATCGGTCTCATGTCCCACCATTATGTACAAGCGAGCGGCCCCAGTCCTTTCCATGCTATTTTATTCTTTTTAACAAGTCAATAAGACTACACCTTCCCGAAACACTCAAGATGGCAAGGGTTTCACCAAACATAAAGGTGGTGACCCTACAGACTTAAAAAAAACTATAGGCCAAAAACAATTACCCTTTTACCAAAAACTTAGAAACTCATGCACAGGAACTGTATTCATTTATAACGGCTCAAAACAATCAACCCTGCCATTTGGATTTAGGAAAAAAAAAAAGCACTAATATGCAATCAAAAAAAAAAATTCTCTTTAAAAAAACAGCATTGGGGAAAAAAGGAAAATCCACTAGGGAATTTTTATTGACCTAAGAAAAAAACTTTTTTAACAGTAAAACCCCAAATCCTACCACAAACTGACCACTACTATAAAAGGCCCTGCCTTGCTTTTTTTCAAATCTACCTTACTAAAGGGATCATACGTCACCATTAAAGACACAGCAAACAGCAACACGGGCCCCTGATACTGGAGTTCCAGGGAATTCCTTGGCCCCGCTCTTTCCCCTATACCATCAAGACCTTCCAAACTATCCCAACACCTGAAACCCATTCCTTTTTCTGATAAAAACTTTTGTCTCTCTCACCCTAACTTTCTACCCTCAACACCCTTGTGAATGAGGAGCTGATTTAAAATATCACTTGATACAGCCAAAAAACTTACCTTAACAGACAAAAATTACTAATTTGTTTGGTAGGAGCAGGGGGAGCACAATTTAAAAATTAAGATTGACAAAACAATTACCAAAAAATAATTTGGGGGGAAAATTCCTGCTTATACCTTTTCAACAACCTGAATTTCAGCACCCAAAATCCAGCTATAGCCAAAAAAGTACCAAAAAAAGTTGGGATCCCCTCCAAAAACATACTACGTGCCAC